TTTGTTTGTTTGTTTTTCCAGCCACGGTGCGGCGCAGGACATGGAAAAAAAAAAAACAAAAAAAAAAAACGGCGGCATGTGACCGAAAAAAAAAATAAAAAATGGCCACCTGCCTGACTGAACTGCAGTTCCAAACTCCGCGGTGCGACTTTTCTGCAAAGCACAGTTTCGACTGCATGGTAAACTCCCCATGGAACTGGAATTAAAAACTGCTGTTTGAAATGCATTTAGATACTTTTATTCTGTTCATCTCGAATTCAGGTCCGTGGGTTGGTGTAGTAGGGGAGAGCTCCACTCTGCAGGGGCGTCACAGGGCGGGAAGTGAAGCCCTGGAGGCTGTCTCTTATACACATCATTTAGATACTTTTATTCTGTTCATCTCGAATTCAGGTCCGTGGGTTGGTGTAGTAGGGGAGAGCTCCACTCTGCAGGGGCGTCACAGGGCGGGAAGTGAAGCCCTGGAGGTGGTGTGGGCAGATTTAGGGGGCTGCTCTATTCTGGGGCTAGGGTGAATGTACACATCCCACGGGGGGCAGATCACGGTAAAGGGTGGGCAGAGGCACACTTTGGGAGGGAACTGTATGCCTTTGTAGGATCGGGGGGGGAAAGCAGGTCTGTCCTGCGTTGGGGCTGAGAGGGGCTGTCTGCAATCTGGGCAATGCGATTCGGTGGATATGATCTTGAATGGGACGCTGGGCCCGGTTCCCAGCACGTGCTGCTCCAAATAGATTGTAGCATGTTCCAAGTTACCAGCTAGCTGGTGCGCATATCTCAAGGTTAGACTCAGTTGTTCCACCGATTTCCAGTCTTTTGTCCTTGGGTCCCATAAATCTTCAACCCTCAGCACACCTCTTTTAACCCACAACGCCCATTGGCAATGTGAGACTAAGCTATTGAAAGTTCGACCATTTACATCTGCCATCMATGGATTGCCAAAAATAGGTTGTYGTAACACTTCCTCATATCGAGAGGGGAAAGGTCTATTGGGTAGCGGTAGTTGGCGCAAAGTTTTGAGCAGTGAGACCCACAAGTCATCCAAGATAAGATCTCTTGTAGCTGCAAAACTGGTCTTCTAATGAGGTGAGTGGGTGTATATCCTCCATTGAAGAAGGCACAAGCCTACGAATCTCTTCCGGTGTCATTTCTTGCTAACTTAAAGGTGTATCTGTGGACAGTATTAGTTTTTTAATACATTGTAGAGAAAACGCTTTTGTGTTGCAAAGATGAGTCAAGAACCCCCAGTCTCTTCCTTAGTTTTTGGTTGAATCAAGAACAATCAGACAACTCTTGGTATCACATTTTCCCACTTGTGGTATCCTCTTCGTAAGAATGTTGCCACCTGCCTTTGAAGTGTTTTTGTAGCCCTCCCAAAAAGTGAGGTATGTTTTTTTTTTTTTTTTTGAGGTATGTTAATTCTTCCATTAGTTCAATTTTTCTATGACTGCTCTCGAAATCCACTCATCATTGATTGTGGATTTACCTTGAGCTGTACAAGTTTGTCGAATTTAGGCTCGTACATTTAGCCTCGGCCGTTCTGGTTGTTTAAGATGTTGACAAGCAAATAAATACAATAACAAAATCATGCGCCATCATGTTGTTTGGGCTGAAAAGGCATCTTGTGACAGTCCTYAGAAAACATTCTGTCCTTCACGCTCAACCCGTTTCTTTCCTTGCCCTTCCTCTCGAGGATTTCTTCCTCTTAACTTGTAACTACCATTACTAACATATTAGAACAATTGTTATAAGAAACTGCTATCCTAATATCAGAACACTGACACTTGTCGCATGCATACACAAAGGTAGGAATGGCGCAGGACAAATAAGAACTGAAGCGAGGAGAAGACAACAATGCAAAGCAGCAGAAGACTGACAAACATCAATCTGACTCATCCGACTCTGGACTTAGCACGCACATACATCATCACCCACAAGGGATACAAAGAGGGAGACATAYATGGAAGAAAGATCCCAGGCCTCCTTTCCACATGCATATGGGGAGAAGTAYCACATCTGATGGAGGTGGATGAGACGAATGTAGAAGAAGAAGAACTTCAAACACAAGCAGAAGCAGAAGCAGAAGCAGAAGTAGAAGAAGAAGCAGAAGCAGAAGTAGAAGCAGAAGCAGAAGCAGAAGCAGAAGCAGAAGAAGAAGTAGAAGAAGAAGAAGAAGAAGAAGAAGCGGTGGACATGAAGGCATTGAAGGGTGGGAAAGAAGGAGGAAGAAGAAGAAGAAGAAGAAGAAGAAGAAGAAGAAGAAGAAGAAGAAGAAACGGTGGACATGAAGGAAGAAGAAGAAGAAACATGCATGCCAACCTCTCAGTAACACCCTCCAGGACTAGTGTGTACCTGAACATATCCTAGCTCAAAGAATTGCAGGAGACAGACGAATGGATGACCAGATGGATGCTGAGAGTTGCACACAGTGACACAAAGGGGAAATAAGTTCAGATGAAACTGTTGACGAATGTTGGAAGCAAAGTGAGTTTAGAGACTGAGTAGAGTAAGAGTGTGGCATACTAAGCCACACGGGCCCCAGTTAGGGCCCGGTTCCCAGTAGGCAGGGTAGGCCTAGGGGGACGACGGTTCAGGCTAAGACCAAATAGGCCTGAGGTAAGGCACGATAGGCCCAAACGGCCAGAGGCCGGTACCGGTCCAGCCCAGGACCAACCGGCGGCGTTTCAGAGGCTGCCACATTTGGCGCCAAACCCAGTTTGAATCTGGACCGTCGATTCAGATCAACGGTCCAGGCCGGTAGGCACCAATAGGCAAAGAGGCCGGCCGAGCATTACAAAAGGCTGGGTACCAGCCTCAGTGGTGAGTTAGTATGTACGAGTTAGTCTGGAGGATTAGTGGAGCAGCCAAGCGTTAAGCAGATTAGCGCAGCGCTGCAGCAGCGAGAGCAGCCAGGAGACAGCGGGCGCAGCGGCAAGAGGARCAGCGCAGCGGCCCAACCGCGCCATAGCCATCAGGTACCGGGAGGAAGGCTCTGCCTTCTCTCCCTCTGTTCCTCTGCCTC